TGTGAATATTGTCATAATTTACTCACTCTTATGTCATTCCAAACCAACTGTTTGGAACGTTCCAAATGTTGAACACAAAAGAAGATCTTATGAAGAATGCTGGTAACCAAACAGTTGTTGGTCCCCATTGACTTCCATAGGGAAAGAAATACCATGTAAGTCAATTGGGAACCATCAATTGTTTGATTACCAGCATTCTTCAGAATATCATCTTTTGTGTTCAACATAAGAAAGAAACTTATACAGGTTTCGAATGAAAATTTTTATTTTTGGATGAACAATCCCTTTAAAATCATTATTTTTAACTTGTTCTCAGAAGCCAGGCCAAAAGGTATGGAGACCCATTTCTGTCATTTAAGAAAACAAAATGCTTTGGTGAATCATAATTATGAGATAAAATGTCATAATTATGAGATTAAATACATAAATTATGAGATACTGAGTCATGGTTGAGATGAAAAGTCAAAACTATGATATACAAAGTAATAATTATAAAGTCCATTATAAAAGTATACATTATGAAAAAATTAAGTAGGAATCATAAGAAAATGTCAAAATTTAGATCAAATTTCAATATTTATATAAAAAGTATTAGATCTTTCAAATTTTTAAGTCAAACCTATGAGATACTAAGTTATATTAATGTCATATATCATGATTACTGTATGACTTAGTATCTCGTACTTTTGATTTTTTTTATGTCCTAACTACAACATGTCAAAATGATGACTTTTTATGTCATGGGATAAAAGTCAAAATTGAGATAAAATGTCATAATTATTATTAATTGTATATTTTTTACTTTTGACATTTTGTCTTTTTATGTCCTAAAGAGTATCTCATAATTTGATTCTTTTTATGTTATAATAATGACATAGTATCTCAATTTGAACTTTTTGTCATAATTATGTCATAACTATGTTTTTTTTGTGTGTGTGGGGGGAAAATAGATGCTGGTCCACAGAATGAAAACAGAAAATATCGAATTATTGTGAATGCTGATAGCATAGTTATTAAATAAACAAGCCACTCTGAAGGCGAATGAGTGTGTACAAGACATGAGCGGTTACTGTAAACCTGCAGTATATCACCTCCATCACTCCGAGCAGGGCTGTAAACAGCTTCTACTGGAAGGCTCCATTAGGAGCTGAGTGACAGGAAGTGATCTATGCAGATGGAGCGGACTGAGCGTATTGACTGCGGCATATGTGCTTAGAGTGACGAGACGGAAAGACCAGACTTTGACAACACTGATGTGTCCATACACAGATTCACTGAAAGAGACTAATTAACCAGGGAGCACCGAGGGCCTTGCACCTTTTCACCTAGTATCGACAGGACGTGATGACCACAGTAGCAAGAAAAGGACAAATATTGACAGTGAAGAACGCTTACTTGCTTCTCTAGGGTTTCTGCAGGATTTTTAAGCTCGAATTTAAGACTTTTTAAGACCTTTTTTAAGACCTGCACAGATCAAATTAATACCATATGAGCGGGGTAGGGCAATGAGTACCATATTAAACTGTAAAATTACTGTAAAAAGCATAATTTACAGTTCAGATACAAGTTTTCAGAAAAACAAAAAGTTTTATAAATGATAAACTTTACATTTCAGCCTTTAAACCATTTTTAAGAAAATGGATGAGTCAAAAGTATTAATTATTATATTAATTTAAACAATTATTATGAATAAATTGTTATATAAATTAAATAATATAAATTAGGGGTGTGCGATATTGAAAAAAAATTTATATCTTGATATTTTCTGTGATTTTATAGATAATGATAATTAGATTATATTTTGCTGAGTGTGGTATTGTGCTGATATCTTAAGCACTACTGTGGACAGCTGACTCCTGAATTTTTTTATATTCTTCATATTCTCTGTGGTCAGTTCACAGCAGGGATAGAAATTAATATATATTTTTTTTATTAATCATAAATTTTATGGGCATTTTTACCTTTAAGCCATTTTTTCTATAAGTGTGCATCATCTTTTGAGTCAAATTCTTGCATTTGGGCTGTTACCAAGCAAATGAAATCCGTATCAACATTTTTCTTTGCAATACAGCGGAAACACAGAAGCTACATCTGGCATTTAGATGTATTTACACACTGTATAATACAGCTCTGAGGGACATGGTATACTTTAACCTGCAGTTACAAATGCATAAATAATGTTTTGATATTTTAAACATAAAACTGATGTTTGAAATTATAAAAAAAAATGAAAGGATATTTTAAATGTGAAGTTTTTTCCACTGGGCCGCACTATGGTCCACGTGCAAGTCTCACGGCCGCACACATATCATTTATATATTACGTCACCAATACAAACCAACCAGATTTATAATATTATAATATATAAATAATAATTTTAATATTAATTAATATTATGATCAGTGTTGGGGGTAACGCATTACAAGTAATGCGAGTTACGTAATCAGATTACTTTTTCAAGTAACTAGTAAAGTAACGCATTACTTTTTAATTTACAAGAAAATATCTGAGTTACTTTTTCTTAAAAGTAACGCCAATTACTTTGTTTTCCCATTTATTGACTGACAAGTCTCCTGTCCCCATATTGGGAGAAATCGTAAGTACAGAGGCGTTGTGTGCGCTGTGTGAACATGATGTAGTTCTAGACTAAATGTGAATGTGCATTAATTCATCCCACTCACAACAAAACAGATTTAGTATTCAAAATGAATTAAAACACTGAAACGCAAACTCAGAATATGACGCAAACCTGCAATAATTAAATATGTTAAATATCACAAATGTATCTAATCCCATTTTATTAACTAATATCTTTGCTGCTGACCTTTGATAATCCAATTTAACCATGCTAATAAGCAAAAATGACTTTAGATAAACTAACATTTGTGCTTCATTGTTTTTTTTTTATTACTGAAGAGTGTTGAACCTTCTTCTCCTGTGTTCTACTGTACAGACGTGAATTTACTTTTACTTCAGCCTGAGGTTTATTGATTCATTGGTTTATTGGTTTTAGATTCATTCAGGAACAAAACAGCGTCATGTTGCTCAGAGACACAAAACAGTGCTGTGGCTGTGTTTGGAATTATTTTTGTTGGCGAAATAGAGCAAAAGCAGGAAATAAGGTGTCTAAAACGTAAGTCTCTTAATGTTAACTTCTTGTTTATTGAACTGTTGTATCAAATCTATATCACATTTGTAATCATGCTGACTTTTGGTGAAAAAACGGCACTCTTCATGTGATATTAACTATATGAAATGATATAAATATATACATTTTCTGCCCCCATATCTTGAATTATGTGAATTCTAAATGCATTTTAATAGACTGATTCATGCGGTGAAAAGGCACTCTAAATGCATGCGCATACTAGTTTAACCTATGTTAAAGGGGTCATATGATGCGATTTCAATTTTTCCTTTCTCTTTGAAGTGTTACAAGCTCTTGGTGCATAAAGAAGATCTGTAAAGTTGCAAAGACTAAAGTCTCAAATCCAAAGAGATATTTTTATCTCAACCACGCCTACCTAAAACGGCTCGTTCTAACGCGCCCCCACATGTCTACGTCACGATGTGGGAAGATTTGCATAACGCTGCCCAAATGTTCAGGCAAAGAAAGAAGGCGTAACTTTTATTCTCGCTGTAGTATTGTTGCCGCCGCCATGTCATGAAGACGCAGTGTTTCGTTGTGAAAGCTAAACTACTTTGTTTGGCCTTCCAAAAGAGGACGATATCCGCTTCGTCATGCCTAGAGCTGATCCGTGCTGGTCGCTGAGGAAATACATCAACTTCGCGCTGTGAATCGCCGGATCGGCTTTCACCGTGGACGAAGCAGAGTCCAGCCCGGAGTCGTCACATGTGGTTGCCGCAAACCCACCGGCCGCGCCGTTCTCAAGCCCGGCAGCCGCCGCTCACTCAAGCCCACCGTGTGTTTCGTTGTGAAAGTGAAACTACTTTGTTTGGCCTTCCAAAAGAGGACACGACTAGAAATCAGTGGTTAAGTTGTATTTACAACACTGTTCCAGAACAGTTCAGATGTGTGCAGAGCATTTTATGGAGGACTGTTTCCTGATCCTGGAAGAGTAGACTACAATGCCGGCTGTTCTGACTCACAGACTATAAATACATTTTCATTTAAAGAATTTGCCACTGACGATTCAAACGCGATTTTTGAGCAATGTAGAGTAGCACTTGTTGTTTGTCATTTCTCCGATCACAAATGCAGACATGTTTTATGTTTACGCGGCGCGATGCAACGCAACGCGTAAAAAGACAGTATAAGTCATTATAATTCATAATTATGTCCCCACTGGATGCAACAAATGCCTCGTTTATAATGGGTTTTAATGTTTTTGTCTCGTCGCTCCGGCCGGACAGGGCATCACAATATGGTAAGGGGTGTAACATTTCCGTCACACACTTGAGGTATTCAGCTAATCACAACGCACTGGATAGCTGGCCAATCACAGCACACCTCGCTTTTCAGACCGATGAGCTTTGTAAAAATCGACGCATTTCAGAAAGGCGGGGCATAGAGGAGAAACATTAATGTACAGTATGTGGAAAATAATGTGTTTTTAACCTTAAACCGCATAAACACATTTCATTACACCAAATACACAAAATAATGTTATTTTTAGCAACATCATATGACCCCTTTAACTTACTAACTTGACTTCATCACGTAATGTGTGCGTGCACTCTGTAGGTGTTTTGTTTGCTTTTCGCGATATACTCAATTAAAACAAAACGTATTTAAAAAGCAAATACTTGAACTTACATCAGCGTGGTAAAAACTACATAAAATGACGAAAACCATCTTTGGAAAAAAATGTTTTGAATTAAAATGTAATTATTTAATTTGATTAGATTACATGGAGAGGGCGGGGTTTATGACCTATACTGGGACCAGCCACCTGGGGGTGATCGAAACGCTCTGGCTTCACTTTTGAACTAGACTAGACTTGTTTGCAACACAGACATTGCAATCCGTGGATGCTCACCTTGCACCAGAAGGCGGGTGGTATATAGCGCCTCCCCCTGGTCACTGTGAGCATGGCAGCTGTAGGCCCCCCGGTCCTCCCGCGTGATGGCCTGCACCGTCAGACTACCGTCACTCACCTGTACAAACAGTATATTTATTAAACATGAGCTACACAAAATGGACAAAATGGTTAAAAATCAGTGTGGTAACTAGTTGGTTTAGCATGTAGCTAATATGCATTGAGTTCTTTATATCACATTTTCATCCCATGAGGACATAAGGGGCCAGAAGTGTCCAATTTTGGAGATTTTTTTTTTAACAAAGTATATTTTATGGGACTGTCAATTTTTCGATTACGATATGAATTCATTGTTTAATGCATTTTTTCCCATTTTCTACTTTATCAATGCAGCATTTTATCAAGTGATTTACAGTAAAAACATTAAAACATCTTTAAAACAAGATGATCTTTATAATATAATATAATATATAATGTAATATTAATTTTCAAACAATGCATACATTGAATTTAATTTTGTGCTTTCTAAAGACTGGTTGGAAATTGACAGCACTATTTTTAGCATACTGTCTTCAAAATGTCTACGGTAATATTATTATACACAGCATAAATGGGTCTTTATATGTGAAATAAATTATTATAAGGTCCTTGTCATCAAAAACTTTGAAAACCCCTGCCTCAAAATAATAAACAAAAAAATTACAATTTATTATGCATTTATTGCTGCATATATTTGTTTGCTTTCAACCATATTCAATCTTCATTCAATACAAAAAAGTATTGCTACAATTAAAAAAATGCATTTATAAAATCGATTAAAATTAAATATAATATGAATATTAGAGCCCGACCGACAGGGTTTTTTGGGGGACCGATGCCGATACCGATATTAGAGTGTAAAAAAAGACAGATATCGATATATATCGGATATATCGGACAATGATAACTCAAATTTGGTGATCAAACATAGGCCTATGTAGTGGTGGCAGGGTATTTAACAATTTAACAATAAACTTTATTATTCAAAATGAGACTGACATCAGTTCAACTGATCAACTTCACTTCACTTATTATAAATAACTTAACACAAATAGAACAAAATATACATAACTTGAATTAAGAAATTAAACAAGGTAACTATGTAGGGCAAGCAAGCTACTATCAAACCAACAGGGGCAGGTTTATGCAGGAAGCTCAGCGTTCCCAAATGTATACATCTAAAATGAATAAATAATAATAATGAATAAAAATGTTTTCACAAATTCTGTGTTGTGTATTTTCTGGTAATCAAATAAACATGCAGAACATTTGTATTTAAATAAGTCTTTTTGCAGTCTATATGTACTGACCTGTTTTTTATTTATTCATCAAAATAAGACAAATTCCATGAAATTCCACGTTATACAGTAAATACAGTACATTTTTATGAATGGATTCCACGATTCCGTCCATGTTTTCTGCATCGCGGACGAATAATGTAGCAAACGAATATGATAAGCTCATTGCGAGAGTAAAATTGGACATTGTTGTTTATTTACTTTAGCATTGAGTCTCTCCAGGTGACAACGTTGCGTTAAATCACCATTCAACAGACTCAAGCCACCACCGCACTGCCGTCTATTGGACTGCAGAAAGATACTAACTTTTCAATCTGCTACGTTACTGACTGTACTGACAAACTGTGCTGACACCGTGTCTGCGCTGCAACAGAACGCGACAAAGCGACTATTGAAAATCATTTGAACGTTGTGTCAGCACGTCATAAATAGAACGAGGCATCAATTTACTGCATCCAGTGTAGACAACATTACTGATTATAATGGGTTCTATTCTACACCGGATGCTAGCAGCGTGGCGCGACAAAATACAAGAAGTTCTTGATGTGATGTGACTGATGTGATAAGCATGAGTTCTGGGCCGTGGCGCTGCCGGTATAAACACCAGCATTGACTGAGTGGCCGCGATCTGCTCCGGTGGCCGTAACACAGGCTTTAATGCGCTGCAGACGCATGCCATGATGCGCAGATCAGCTCTAGTCTCTAACGTCACTGAATCTGCTGTTAAAAATGAACCGTCCATTCATCATATCATCATGCAGAACTAAGAATTAGAATCATTGTAATGCGATGATCAAATATAGGTGTGGGTGGGAGGCGGGCGGATAATTTGAAGCAGCGGACTCGGGTGAAGTTTGAGCTCATCCGCGCATCTCTACACTGATCTGGGTCGCCAGTAGCAAACAATGGAGCATGCTCTGCTGGACAAACTAAGTAATTACACCATTCAGAAGCATTTAATCTGCATTATATGTTCTGTAAAAAAAAATTCATATCGGTGGCATATCGGCGGCATATTCGTCGATACCGATATAATGCTTCATAACAAATCAATCAAATTAAATCAGCATCCCCAACTGAGATTAAAAGTGCAGCTGCATCTTCCGGAACAACACATGGAAGACATGAAATAGTTTCCTGACAGGACATTTTGGAAGAGGAGTGGGTCGAGTCTTATTCCCTGCACGTCGATAGCTTAAGCCAGAGGAGACTGGCCTTAATGTTCCTCCTACACAATATCCCAAGGTGTGTCAAGTCCTGCTGGACGGTTGACACAATCCTCCCGGCCTGTTCCATCACCCTCCTGTTGCTGACAGACACGTCACACTGATGACCCAGACGAGAGCAGGTAATAAACTCTCTCAAACACTGTGTGTGTGCGGAGAGCTTTATTTAAACACACACTGCTGTGGACGAGGGCAGGGTGAAAAACAAGCTCTGTGCATCGAGACGAGACGAGACTTCTGTTCCTCTTGCTCTTTAGCGTGTGTATTCCTTCACTGCATTCCTCCATTTCTCTAAATTCTAGCCATGGAAGCAGGGAAAATAATGGAGGACCACCGGCCTCCACACCACTGTTCTCAAAGGTGAAGTCACGACACTTCTTTTGAGTAAATGTCTGGGACTGTGGCTGGTTAGCAGTGGGAATGGCTTTTAAGAGTAAGAGCCGAAGCTGAGTGCTTTCTCCCTACAGAAGAAATAATTTAATATAAATTTGATACAATCTAATTGCAGCTGAATCAAGATTAATCACAGCCCATGAGGCAATTTACTAAATGTGATGTGGAATTTCCTAGTGTTCTGCCAGCATTCACATTCACTGACAAAAATCAAGTGGGATTGTTTCTGCGGAGGGTCAGGAATTAAGCGTACAACGGCCCCAAAAAACGTTTATTTTGCACACTTAAGCCACTTATAAAAAGCTATGTTTAAGTCTAAATAATGTTTTTTTTTTAGGAACACATGTCTTTTGTTTTGTACATTCATATAATACTACTTGACATTCTAATGTTTTAAAATACATTTTTAATTAAAAAGTTAGCTGGTAATCTACCTAAAATAAATGCCAATTTGTTTGATATTTTATATACAGTGGTGGCCAAAATTGTTAGAATACTTGGCATATTTGAGAGGTTTAAGTTGTTTTGGTTGAATTAGCCATTACAATACCCATAAAATGAACTATTGCCGGAACTACCTGTGACAGAAGGAATCTGCTGGAATATTGAAAATGATGGACTGGCCCCTTCAAAGTTCAAAACTAAACCCCATCGAGCAAATTTGGGGCGAGTTGGAAAATAAACTGGACAGATCTATTGTACATTCAAAGGAAAGCATTTGGCTTGAGTTGCAGAAGGCATGATATAACATTAGTGCTGAAGTTCTCAGGAAATATATTGACACTATGGCAGAGAGATGTGCTGCTGTAATTGCTGCAAAAGGTGGATATACCAAATATTAAAGTTAAAAGTGGATAAAAACAGTACGACTCACTTCATCTGATATTTGTTGTGCTCAGAGCAACCATCTGCACGTTTCATAAACATTATGAAATTAAATCATGTTTTGGAGGCAAAAAAGGTCAATATTTTCAGATTTGTCAGGTGTTCTAACAATTTTGGCCACCACCACTGTAAATGCAAAGACATTCTAAGTAACAATACATTTATTTTTTGTTTAAACAACAACAAATAATAATAATAATAAAAACTGAAATAAAAAAATCTAATAAAATTGAATAAAAAATTAGCATTCTATTATATATAAGCTTGTAATACTAATGTGACTTTAATACTAATTAATAATAATTTAAATAACATTTTTAATTCAAACAATAATTGTAATATATACGGCATTGTAATATTAATATAACTTAATACATGTAACAATTTAATACATATTTAGTTTGAAAAATTATTAAACATTTAATAATTTAATTAATACATTTTTGTAATGTTTTGTTTGAAAGGCTTACTACAATAATAAATGTAACTGGGTTTGATATTTTGTTACATAATGCTAAGACATGCTAATTAATAATATTTTTAATAACGTTCCAATTAAAACAATAATTATCAATATTTTAATAAATGTAACAATTTAATAAACTTCTCAAAGAAAATATAAATGAACATTAATTTTGTTATATTTAATAAATTATTATAAATTCTTATGTTACTATTAATATAAGATATAAATTACTAAATTACTAAATTATTATAAATATATATATATATATATATATATATATATATATATATATATATATATATATATATATA